CGCCGCCACGTGAGCCTCGTGGCATGAAAGGTAGGTTGGCGCGGGAGCGGCGCAGCGCGCGAGCCCCAGACCCGCGCGTCCCGGGGAGAGTCCGGGGCTGCGCGGGAGAGGAACACCTGCTGCGTCCTTCCCAGCGCGCAAGCGTGGCAGGCGCGGGACCCGGGACAACCTCGGTAGCTTCCGACGGCTGGCCGCCGCCCTGTCTCGGATGCATTTCCCCGACGGGATTCGCGCCGTCGCCTGGCCTCGCAAGCCCCCGAAATACAGTACAGTATTGTCTCCTCTCCGAAGCTGCCCAAGGCTTTTTGCTGCCTGAGGTGAAGTACTAAATGGCAGCCCCCTTCACCTTGCTCAGCTCAGCGGGCGCAGCAGCCGAAGCCAGCCGAGTTACTTCGGCACGTGAGGCGGGAAATCCCCAGAGGGCTTCTCCTCATCTGTGGCATTATAACAATGTAATAAAAATAAAGAAACGATTTGCTTTCCTTTCACGGCACGCTTGAACTTGCTGCCTGAGGCAGCTGCCTCATTCTGTCCCTTGGTAGGATCGGCCCTGCTCTTTACCTTACATACATTTTAAATATATGTTTCAAAGTTCTCCTACCTAAGGAATTCTCTTTACCCCAGTGCAGCCTTTCTATCCTATAGGCGCTCACCATCAGAAAATGGAGGGGTGCATTTGGCTACAGGTTGCCACATGGACTACCCACAAAGGCAAAAGCAAAGAAGTCGAAAGTCCACTTCTGGTTGTGAAGATAATGGGAGGGATGCTAAAGTGGTGCAAGAAGGGAGGGCGGGTTTGCAATCCTTCCTGGAGGGTTTTAAGAGGGGCAATTCATTTTTCCCCTCCAGGGAAAGCCATTTTTAGAGAGGAGAGCCTGATGGGTTGGAGCGGCTTCTGCAAAACTGTCTTGGAGAGCTCGCTTGGCCCGCCTGGCTTAGAACCTGGGTGACGCCCGGATTGCTAGAAAAGTGAGTTGGAGTTTCTCCCCTTGTGTTTTGTTTGACATTTATGCTCCGTTACCCCATGCCCGTTCTTATATCCACCTATCCAGCATTAGAAGGAAATGCTTCCTTGGGGTTGGAGGGATAATTTGGCCGTGGTCCAAGTGTTTATACGCAGGAGGCCAGATTCCAAAATTTCAGGGTCAGCCACGCCTAGATTTGACAGAGGTACCCAAGTGATGCCTCTCATCTTAGAAAATGAGAACATCGCCTCTTCAACTTTCTGTTTCTAGAGGGCTTCCATTCCGCCACCTCCACAAATCCAGGCAGCATCTCTAGTATGACATGCAAGCAAATGAGCTAATGAGCATGCAGATACAATATGCTAAATTAGCGTTGTGCTTACACTTCCTGCAGAGGTGGTGTTTAAGAAGAGATGTTTAAATATGATGAAAAATACACTATGCAGTCTGAGGTTGCAGTGCGAGGAGAAGAGATGTTTAAATATGATGAAAAATATGCAGTCTGAGGTTGCGGTGCAAGTCTGCAAGCAGGTTTCTCCATGTGCTTCCTCTTTTTATCTGCTTTCTTGTGCTATCATTGGAAATCTGGGCCAATGAAATAAAGAAGTGCTGGGTGCTTTGGGGAAATATCTGCACACCGCAGATTTAAAATGGGTTTAATAGTAATTATTTCTCCCCAGGGAACCCTAACAGCTGTAGCTGTGTGAGAGAACCTTTGGATCAGTTAATTTGCAGCACGATCACCATCATATTAGAACATCCAGGTTGCTGTTTTGAAAAGTGGAGTCAATAGCTGTGTAGGTATTTTTTCCTGAACACCTGATTTAGGAAGTGGATTTGGATCTCCCATAAAAAAGAGACTCCTTTGAAGAAAAGGGTACCTTTTATTACGGGGTACTGTTCTGGTGATGCTTCTGTATAGACCAGCATCTGTCAGTACTGTATAGGGATTAGCATCCTCTCTGTGTGGAAAGAGAGCCAGTGTAGTGCAGTGTAGTGTAGCAGATAAAGTGACAGAATAAGACTCAGGAGATCTGGATTCAAATCCCTGCTTAACCATGGACACTCAGTAAGGATGGACAGTGATTAGTTCCTCCTGACACATCTTACTTACCTATATGGGTTGGCATATGTTGGAAGCAACTTGGCGGTTCTTATATAACATCATACATATTTAATGAACAGTTAAAATAAATTCCTAAAGATCAGGGTCCCAGATGAACTCTGGATATTTCTGAATATTTTTCATTAATAGGTGTGGTGGTGTGGATAAAGTGAAGGATTAGGACTCAGCAGACCTGGGTTCAATTCCTCACTTGGCCATAGAGACTCACAAGGGGTTAGGGCAGAAGTGCTAAAATATATACTCTAGATATTTCACTTGCCTTGAAAGCCCCAGTGTTGTCGTAAATTGATTCCAACTTGATGGCACATGACACATGCACGTGCACTGGTTTGGGACTCTGTGTTTTGATCATTCGTTTTTAAGCTCTTGGGTACCTATGTCTAAGCAGACAGTAGCAAAAATATAATGTCAGTCAAACACAGGAATAAATTAGCATAGCATTGGAATTTTGTTTGCACGGTATCTCCTTAGAAACAAGTATCTGTGCTAGATAAGATTGCATTCTTTAAGCAGTGAAATTTCTTGGTTTTGCAAGGACATCCAGATGCCTGCTCAACCAAAATGGCACACACTAAACTGACTAAAAATCAATACTGTCATTCTACAAATATTATTTGTTTTATATATTCATTCAACGTGTATACTGCCCAATAGTGTGATATACACCCTCTGGGTGGTTACCAACCAACATAAATAATCTACAAAATAGAACAATACCAATTACAAGCATCAACAGCAATAAATATTGTACATTGAACATGACACATCACATTAAAAGAGTAGCAGTGGTGAAGGGAAAGTAGTGGGTTGGAAGAAGTCCAGCAAGCAGCCAGAAAGCCAGTTTTCAACATTATGTTTGCATCCACTTTGTCAGGACATCAGAGTGTGGAAAAGCCACATGTTTGAAGAACAGTTCCCAGGATCCCCCAGCCTGCTTGGCTTGTGACCGTATTGTCACATGGATTCTGATGCTATAGCCCCTTAAAGCAACTTTCCCAAAATCTGACCATATTGCTGAAATTATTTGAATTCTATAGACATCCCTCTCCTAAAAAAACATTATGAGTGGTTGTTGTTTTTTTTTTAAAAGGAGACAACGTCAAAATGACTAGATAGGCAGGGTATAAAATAAACAAACAAACAAACAAACAAACAAATAAATAAATAAATAAATAAATTTGAGAAATGTGGACAAAAGGTGAAAACAGAATACAATGCTGTCTCGACTTACGAAATTAATCCTTATTGGAACAGTGGCCGCACTCAAAATTTTCATAAGTTGAATCACCGTTTCCCATAGGAATGCATTGAAAACTATTTAATTCGTTCTGGCTGTTTTTCGTTCTTATGTAGAGGTGCCATTCTTAAGTCGAAGCATTAGTTCCCATAGGAACTAATGCAAAACCGGTTAATCCATACTCTACCATTAGGGGGAGAATTTTTCTTCTTTTGACGTAAGATGAACTGAGGTCAAAAAAGGGGCAAGAAAGGAGGGAGGTAGAGGGAACCCCTTCTAAACAGAACCTCTTTAAAAACAAGCACATTTTAAACAAAACCAAGCACCTTTGAGTCTACAGTAAACTGCATTTTAAAGCCTGCCTGCCTGCATCAACAAGCACCACAGCCCTTCACAGAATATTTTCTGATTTTAAAAGAGACAGACCTTGGAGCCACATATTAAACACACACGTTTTAAAACAAAAGAGAGGCCACAGTACACAAACCCTAGGAGCCACAGAATGCAAAGATAAATAAATAAATTTTACATTTTAAAATTGCAGTCTAATTTTCACATTTAATTTTAATTTAATAATATAGTCTACTTTTTACATTTTAAATCCACACTGTAAGACACATCAGAGCACAGAAACATAACCCCCCACCTAGCCCTACCCCCCAACAAGCTGCAAAAAACTCTGTACAGTACAGTAAATACTGTACAGTGTATGTACTCACCCAGAACAGGCAATCTCTGTTTTTTTTTTTAAAAAAAAACCAAAAATCCAAAAAACATTTTTAAAAAAAGCCATAAAAATACAGTCCGTACCGTACAGTACCAGGTAGTACCAGGCAGTCTGAAGACTCCCTAACTGCTGGGACGAGCAAGGTAGCAGACAAGCAGCCTCTTCGCTGGCCAACAGTTAACAGAAAGTTCAAATTTTGCGCTTTCCCCGCATTTTTTTCTTTCTTAATTCGAAGCTCCGGCCACAAGTCGAAGCAATATTTTGCGGCCAGAGCTTTTCTTATGTCGAAAATTTCGCAAGTAGGGACGTTTGTAAATCTAGGCACCACCGTAGTGATATTTTTCTTTCCTAGCAGGGCGTCTGTTCTTCTAACAGCTGCAAAACAGGCAGATATTCAACATGAGCATCCCTTCATTTGTCTTGCCTGATAACTCTTAACCTGTTGGACTTCTGTCTCATTTTCCATTGATAAAGGACAAATACTCCTGCCACTTCCTCATTGTTCTTGATGTCTACGTAAGCATCCTTATGAGAAGCAGTAAAGCTGAGAAAGTTATGGTCCTCAGTGTCCATCCTTGTTACAGGAAACTGAGGCAATTATACTGCATGAAATGAAGTGGGTTGGGGTGATACCTAGTTCTTGATTCATAAGCTTTCTGCCAGCTATACATCTTCTGTTTCTTCTGCTCAGATATGTACAGTGGTGCCTCTCTAGACAGTTACCCCGCATGACAGTTTTTTCGCTAGACATTGACTTTTTGCGATCGCTATAGTGATTCGCAAAACAGTGATTCCTATG